CAAAATACTACTACGTACTAGTTTGAGATAAAAGAGTGTGACACAACTTTTAAGAAAAAGTGAAATTTTGTGGTTGATATTAAATTGATAATGTGTGAATACATTAATAATGAATTGTAACCACCCAAATGTTATCAAATATGGTATGAGACAAACATAAAGATAGATAAAAAGGTAAGACGGAACAAAGTTAAGGAGACGGAGACCATATCACTTAGCCCACTTTCCCGTTTTGTTAAGCTCGTTATTACAAATACATAACTACCTTTATTTTTCTATGATTTTATATTGGTTTTCACACTAGCCTTTTTATTTCATCTCTTCCCCATTACTTTTTCAATTTTACTATGCAATTGCAAATGCAAATGCAAATTAAAACTATGCAATTGCAAATTAATCAATACAGAGTGTGTGTTGTTCATATAATTTTTCTATACAAACATTTAAGTATCTACTCCACCATCTTACTAAATTTAACCAATTTTACTAGCACATGAAATAATAAAGTAAAAATTATATATTTAAAATTATAGAGGAAAAAGAAATATTATGAACATTTAGTGAGAGGGAGGATGTATAATATTTCACTATCCAAAGAGTTCTAGTCAAAATTATTTCATTTTAGTTACTTTCAATTTTAATCGGTTGAATTCATTTTTGGTCGACGTCTTTATTATTCCCTCCGGTGCTAAATAAACTTCACACTTTGACTTCACACAAATTAAGGAAATAAATTTGACTTTACTGTAGAGTACATTGTTGTGACACTGTTTGGCACTGTATGACATTGTTTTGCACTATTTTGCACTGTTTTGATGTAGATAATTTGTCAAATAAAGAAGGGAGAAGAAGTGTGAAGTTTATTTTAGACCTACCCAAAATGGAAAGTGTGAAGTTTATTTAGGACCGGATGGAGTATTAGATTAGATGGCGAAGGAGATCGATTTCATATTTTGCTCGTGAAAGAGACTTGAAAAAAGCCTCATTCCAAAACCAATACCTTTTTTTAGAACGGAACTTAAATTGATATCACACCATTCAAATAGTGAGTAAAGCGACAAAGGACCACATACAAGCAACCGTCAGCCTTCGAACCAGAATTAGAGTCAATAACCTTCAAAAAAGCAATATAACTCGTTGATCGTATAATGAGCATAAATAAGCCAACGACGGTTAAAAGATGTCTCCATCACCCAATCCTAATGCAAGAGTCTTACAACAATAAATTGCAAGCAAATAGTAAAATTAGAAAGTTGCTTCCAAATCTCAGACTCTCCTGCACCCTATGATAGCGGTTCAAGAGAAGAATAATGTATCATGTTGTATTATATTAAAATCATCATCATCATGTTTTACTAATACGACACAACAAACAAAACTAATATCGAAATTATCGATATTGATTGAATTTTTTTATTGGGATTCGTCAAAATTAATAGAGAATTTGTCAGACATAAGTCAATTATGTGACAAAAACATTTTGGCCTGGCAAGAGTTATTTGATATGAAATTATCGATTAATGTGATAAATCCTTCGTAATTTTTATAATGGGGATTTTATTATGCATTATGGTATTTAATCCATACGCGTTTTGAAATATTAATTTTAGATTAGAGTGCAACAAAAGTATTTAGATCGTGTTACCTTTATCTAGTAGCACATGTGCATGTTGCTTTATTAAAGTGGATTAAAAGATAGTATTGTACCAATGCTAAGAGTTGGTCACATGTAACCAACAAATTTCAACCTAAGGATTTGTGGACAAGACTGAAATGTACCATTCAAATTCTTAGCGATTAATTAATCTCAACTTAGGATAAAGTAAAAGAAGTACAACAATTCTTTTTAATGACTTTGATCTTAAAATTAGATTCAGTCTTATCTATTTCATTAATTAAGATCTTTTCTGTTAGTGATCAACATAGTCACATTCTATTTGTCGCCGACTCCCGACCCCTAAATGTACTTTATTACTCCCTAAATGATACAAAGGGAGTAATATTTAATTAATAAAAGATATTCTCAATTGAAATTTACTTAAATTATCATATTTATTTGATAATGTTTTAAATTTAAAATACAACGGTACGATTTCGGGGTGAATGTGATGTGATCCTTTTTTGAATAAAAAAATAATTTTATTTTAGAATTTATCATACTTCTATTTCTATTTTAGGAATTTTTCTTAATTGTTAAGATGTTTCTCTCAATGAATTTGGCCATTGCTTCGATCAGAACTTTCAGGCATCTTACATAGTTATAAATCATTGTCATTTAACTTTTTTTTCAAGAATTGTAATTTAACTTATCATTATTCAACAAAGTTAAAACTTTTTAGTTAGACACTTGGCACAATACATTTTATCAGATACCTTGATATTTTAAAGATATTGTTTTATGACCTATTACCTATTATGAATAGCCTATGAGATTTAGTGTTATATCATTAGTTAGTGTTGGAAAATGTGTTGAAAAGTGCATTAAATGATCAATTTTGGGCAATGTTTTGAGTGAGGTTCACTTAAAATTTGGGTCGGGTCAAAGTGGTTTCAAATTATCCTTGTTAAGAGCTACAATTCGATATATGGTACACTCAAAACGAATAACGGTTGAATGAGAAATGATTCTTGAAGTTCACTCGTTGAAATGAAGAAAACTAGGAAAATGATGGATTTCTAGTGTCATATTTCACACAGGGGAAAACCAACGGGATTTTCACCCCCTTATAAAGGGAACTCTCTTTGGAGGAGTTAAGATTTCTAGGTGGAGAGGCTCTCTTCGCGCACAGGGGTGTGCCGATCAAATCCCGAACGGATAAGAAAAATCGCGACTGACGTGTGCGGGCGACCTGCGGACATAAATGCCATCTGAAAATCTATCTACTAAAGATAAGATTTAATTTTATTTTCTTCCTGCGACGTTCCTATTTTTTGCCCCAGCACCAGCCCATTGGTAGGTTGCTGCTCAGTTGTTTAACGCATGCCAGCAGGTTGCTGCTCAGGCGTTACAAGAATAAATGTCCAATCTTCTTCTCCCATTATGCAGCGATAAATGGACAATTAGTTCATGGACAAATCAATACCCAACGGTCTGGTCATTGATGTCCAACGTTCATGACCATTAACTCACAACAAATCCTTCCCTATAAATAGCAGTAGGTGTTTTGCACCAACACACGAATATACACAATGTTCACGTTATTTTTAGAGCTTAAATCACCTCGTGTTTTCAGAAAGTTTCTTCTATGTTCTGTCCTTTGTTTCCGTTCGACGGAAGTGTCGTTTGTGTGCTCAAACGATTGTTCGCTACCCAACGTATCTAGGCTAACTATCGTTGCAACGCTCCTAGCACCGTGGGAAGCAACAAATACGTTTTAAGGACTTTTGAGTTTAATCCAACACGATATAATAAATATAGATATAAATTAGTATGAACTCTCGATCTTTACGTGGAAATCCGAAAGGGAGAAAACCATGAGACTTTTTAGGCTAATGTCCAAACCCTCTCTTTTTCATTAATACTCTCCTCGCCATTCTAAAGTACAAGAGCTCCCATTCATGGAGTATTAAGTTCTCTATGCTAAAGAGGAAGAAGATAGGAGGAGAAGCCGAAAATGGATCCCCTATAATGGAGGGAAAGCCTCATATTTATAGGGGAATGGGAAAGGGGTGCAAGCCACCGTAACGTGCCAAATGGGCCGCGATGGGCCGATTGGGCCGTACGGGCCCGACAAGATGAAATGGGCCTTAATGACCGGGCTCCGTATTGGGACAAAGTCTTGGACTTATGAACAGTAACAGATCGGGATAATATATTCCAACATAAGTCCCCCAATTTCTTGAGTAGTGAGCGTGCGAATCCGCTCGAGAAATTATAGCCTTGCTCATGATCCTCCCTCGTCTTTCTCAAATCTGTGTTTTCGAGTGATCACGCTAAATGAGTGGTGTCTGCCACCATGAACATAAGATGTCAGTAAGACTCTCTCCCTCCTGACTGGACAGAGGCGGTAGACACTAGATAGAGGTAGTGGTCGCCGGAGTTGATCGGAGGTGGTGGTCTCCGGTGGTAGATGGTTTTCGTGGACGGGTCGTCACCAGAGGTGGCCGCCGCCCTTGGTCATTATCTGATCGAGTTAGGTAAATGATTGGACCGGGTCATTATAATTGACGGTTCGGGTAACTGTAACTAGCGGGTCAGGTAATTGTTCGGGTCACTGAATGAGTGGACATCGGTCACTGGACGAGTGAACATTGATCACTGGACAAGTGGACGTTGGTCACTAAACGGGCGAACGTTCGTCACTGGGCGGCGGGTAACTGTAACTGGTCAATCGGGTAATTGAAAACGGGTAATTGTAAATGGTTATTCGTGTAACAGTAACTGGCGTCAGGTAGCTGTAGCTGATCGAATGGGTAAATTTAATTAGTCGGGCAAGTAATTGTAACTGTAACTTTAACTACTTGAACGTATAACTGAAACTGGTCGGATTAAATATGTGTAAATCATCATCGGATAAATGTAATTGGGAAGAGGGATATAAAAGTCAATTCCTTTTTTGGGGCCTGCCTACGAGGAAAGTGAGAAACGAGTATCAAGCATTATACGTAGGTATATTAATTATTTTAGTGTATACGTAACTGTATTAATTAAGTAGGGGCATATTGGATACTTTGATTGTAAAGCTACTAAATGGTCATACGGAGGGTATGTTTTTTGGCAAACATTGAAAGAGATCTTATATTTGTCCAACTCGTTGTAATTAGTATTATTCATGACCTAACCCCTACGGAGAACTCATTAGTTTAAAAATGTATATTGATTCTCACGACTCAAATACTATACAAATAACATAAAGCTTTCTCTCTTTCAATAGAATACTATACAATATGTAACATTTTAAACTTGGAAATAGCTAAGCCAATACATATAAGCAAATAAAAATACTCACCCTGACACCCTGTCCCATAAAATTTGGTAAAAGTTTCTTTTTTTGTCGTCTAAAAAAACTTCACCATTTCGATTTAACGTAACAAATATGTGATTAAAATTATTTATCTCTCCTCTACATAAATATCAATCATACTATTTTTACTTTATTATATTCTATGTGCAAGTCAATTTTGACCAAGTTCCAGATCTACTTACACAATGATTTATTTATTCAAAAAGCTTTTAAATAATACATAATGACACAAAAACAAATCTTTGTAAATAAAACGTGACAAAATAAAATGAGTAGCACATATGTTATAATAGGGTGCTACTCAAGGTGATCATGGGGCCTGATTGATAAGAACATTGCAGCATACTGTCGGAGGCGTCGATCATTGTTTTGTCCGATTTCCAATACATTATTCATTAGTTGACCTCTTGTCCTCATCCTATAACGTCGCCAAGCCAACTGAATGTTAACAGTTGCCCAAGTTCTCCAATTCGCAGAATAGTACCTTGTTCTCCACTTAAGCTTCTCATTTGCAAACTTGTACCTGAAGTGGTCAGTGATGAAGCGGATATGGTCAGCGTCTAGGCCAAATGCTTCGATCGACTCAATGCATGTAAATGTGGCAGAAGACGTTAGGAGCCTATCTATGAAGGGACGTCGGAGACACCATGAAAGAAGTTCATCGCCTAAGAAGCCTCCTGGTTCAAGAATGCTTGTGGCTACCTTTCCTTTGCTTAAACTTTGGCTGCTTCTGACACGTCCTCGTACTATGAACACCATTCGTTGCACTGGATCTCCTTCTCTTATTATCTGTTTTTTAGTATAGAATATATTGATAGATGCATGAATATGGACAATCCATTACGTTAACTTATACGGAGTACAATCATACTATCTAGCTAATAAGAAAGTAATATGGAGTATAATTTTTTAAAACTTTACACCAGTCGTACTCTTGAACTATATACATTTAGTATTTTGTTTAAGAGTAACATTTTGTTTCACATATTTTTGAGTAAATTATTTATAAATGAAGCATTGTACCTTCTCATCTTTCGAGAACACTAGAGGCTTAATGCGGTCACAAATGTTGTCAAGAATGAGATCATCCAAACTGTGGAATAGAGGAACCTGCAATTAATACATGAAGGAATAGTAGTGGCTATGTAAAGAACATATAAAATTTTAAGGGGACCACATAGTGCTTAATGAATTCATCGTAATCCTTTTTTAGATAGGCTTCACAATCCTTTTCTAGAAAGGCTTCACGGTTAAAAAATGATGATAAATGGTGATAATGTTGAGACATACAGTATGTCATTAATAATCATAAGGAAGTTAGGGATGGTTCTTCAAAACTACTCCCAAGAAAACTCACATTAGGATAGATATATTTTGTGTGAGATGCTATATGAGATGGTACCTTCTTTATGAGATCGAGGCATAAAAATCGTTTTATGTCTCGCCGAAGACCTTCTGGCAAGTCATTAATCAACTCCATCTCATCTTCTCCACCCATGGAAGCCCACCGTTGTCGTTCAAAATGGCGCACTCTTTGCCTCAATTTCGATGGAAGTTGTCTTCTCTTCATCCACCATTCCATATCTCTGCACCTTAGTTGCATTTTTCTCTTTTTCGCCATCACAGCATGCAGAAATACCTTCACAACATCAATTGTTAAGGCCTAACACTAGTTTTTAAAGATAAGCTTCGATACATGTGATGATGATGTGGAACACAAGCACTCATACTACTTACTTGAATATTTCCAATCAAGAGAGTGAACAACATTAAACCGCTAAGAACGATACAAATGCTGAATATAACTTCCAACCAGTTGCTTGTTGGTTCCAAATCATTCCCAAATGTGCTGCATACAAATGAAGGATTTCATTGACCATCCAAATTGAATCACGAAATTAAGACCAAAATTACACTAGGGTAAAGTTAATGATAAAAATATTATGCTCATTCCACAATGGTTGTGATGATACTATCGGGTCTCTCGCAACGACTGTATGCCATAATGATGTTCTGTTTTTATTATACAGTGACAATGATCATTTCTTTAAGTTATTGCAGTTACCATCTGTCACATTTTTTCATGACTTTTACTTAAATTATATTCTATGAAAAAATTGTGCATCAATTGCAATGAAGCCAAAGACTCATTATCTTTTGGCTTGGAAATATGATGGAATATAGCAAAATAGCTCACTAAACTGTCTGCGCTTCTTTGTTATGAAGCAACAGTCAGTCCATGCAATTTTCGACACAATTTTCACTATGGGTCACCCGGAAACAATCTCTCTGTGCTTTAGTATAGGGGGAAGGTTGTGTACATGCGACCCCCTTACCGCATCATAGGTGGGAGCTTTTGCGGCACTGAGGTAATGATGATGATGATATTCTATGAAAAACTTCTTTGATCAATATATGAACTTAAACAAATGATAGATAATCACTCAATCCCTAATAAGCTTAATCTCATTATGTAATATTAACTTGTTACCTAAGAGACATAAGCCCCCAGAAGATAGGATAAAGAATCTTTACAGCAACAGATCGACTAGAGACTATGGGAAGAGCACAGTTGTATATTCCATAACCAAAGGTGCCATTCACATCTAAGCAAGACAGGGGGGTATGGCATGCGCTTTTCCCACCACATTGTTTGTCAAGGCACGTAGACACTCGTTGAATTGCAAGTACATACCAACATCCCCCAGCTACCTGTACAATCAATCGTTAAACAAATTGATATTATGATTAAAAAGGTAAATGAATGCAGTACAAGAGAAGCATTGTTCTAATAATTTCTTACAACAATTTCATTATTTCTCGCCTAATCATAGGAAAGCGTACATTTCCCCCTTGTTGATACTTGTGTGTTTTCACTCAAATTCATAAAAGAAAAGTAGAAATTGCAACATCAATGTGATTAGTTACATGGGAAGCAATGAAGTAGGCTATGAGATTGAGGCCAAAACCCCACCAAATGGTTCCAAAAATGTATCCAGTGACCTTCTGCATTCTTCTCATCAAGGATATGCTGTGGTAGACTCTTGGGAGGAATTGAAACAAAAAGATGAGTAGAAGAATTGTCATCATGAGCCTCACCTGCTCATCTCTTATCAATTTTGGTACCACCAACCAAAACATTACCTGCATATACATTAAAGTTTATGTAATGAAGTTGATAACAAGAAAATTGAGGCTATCATAGGATGCACGAGGCCTAAGAAGAAGAAAAGAGAGAGACATAGTTTTCTTGAACTAGTGAGAATATAGGAAGTTCGTGGAGTGATTCTCTATTTTGGTATAACGAAAAGGGGCTGATTTTGTATGGAATGATTGCCGCAAGAAGGGATTGGTCGAGGCACCGGTACTAGCCTTTACCTAACAGGATTTGGGGTACGATGTCTATACGATGCGAGTGCTAATGGTGTTAAATATATTGCAACAATATATATATAAACATTAACAATATTATATTTGAGTTCAATCTTGTTTTTACTATAAATTTAATTTAATATTCAATAATTTTCATAAAACATAATAAAAATATTTGAACACTACATATTCATCAAATTTTCTATTATTTTGTATTCCTTATCAATATTTTATTTGTATTCATTCCTTTTATTCATTTATTTATTACTAAAATTACTTTGAAATCTCTATTACAATGAATATAAAAATGAAGATAAATAAAAAATGATAAGGAATAAATGTAATAGAGAATTTAATGAGTATCTAGAGTTTAAATATTTCTTTTATTTTTTATGAAATTTTCAACATTAAATTGAATTCATAGTAGAACTAAGATTATACTCAAATAGAATATTGTAGCTTGTGTGTGCGTGTGTATTTGCTTCGATATATTCAAAACTTAAAAAAACTAACAAAAATGTTAACGACTTTAGCACTTGGTTTATTTGCTAAGTAATTGGGAATACTAGTTAAGTGGAGATTATTGATATCAATTTTACCATAATATTATGATGTACCGTGATTTTAGTTAAGTTTTATAATTCATCTTTTTGACATCTAAATTCATTGATCAGAATACTACAATTGAGTTCATTTTACTTTCTCTTATAATGGATAATACAGCATTATATTATAAAACTAAGGACAAGTTTACTAAACGGTGCTTATTAAGACTAGCATTAATAAGTACGCATAAAATAAACAGTGTTGTAAGCTCATGTTTACTTCAAAAGATTTAAAACACCGTTTAATATTAAAATTTCCAAAATAACCCTAAACATATATAGACATTGAAACAATCATGACCACAAGTACACGATATAATACATGGGGCTAATCTCGTACGCTTACCCATACTCCCTAACCCCTATCCGCACCACCACCCCTACCCCCTTCCTACACCCTACCCCTTGATCCCAACCCCTACAATGACCTTACCCTCTACCCCCTACTCCCCTACAACCCCCAACCCCCAACACCCCTTCCATACCCCTTAACCCCATACCCCTATTCATACCCCTGACCCCTTTATACCCCTACCCCTTTACTTTGATTAGTAGGCTCGTAGCCCTAGCCCCACCCACCCTAAGGTTAGGGGTAAGGTAGGGATAGGGTACGGGTTCTAGTAGGGGTTGGGTGAGGGTAGTTAGGAGTGTGTAGGGGATAGAGTACGGGAGCGAGGTAGGGGGTAAGGTCAAGGGGTAGGGGTAGGGGGTGGGGTAAGGTTGTAAGGGCTAGGATGGTGGTATGATGGGGTAGGGGTAGGAGGAGTGGGGGCTGGATCGGGGTGGGGTCGAGGTAGGGGCAAGGGAGTAATAGGGGTAGGGTCGGGGTAGAGGAGTGGGGTGGGATGGGGTTAGGGGTGGGGGTCAAGGTAGGGGCAACTGGTAAGGATAAAGGGGTAGGGTCAGGGTCGGATAAGGGGATAGGTGGGGGTAGGGGTGGGTAAAGGGGTATGGGTCAGTGGTAGGGTGGTCCGTAGGGGGTTGTGGTCAGGGTGGGTTGGGGTCGGGATAAGGTATAGGAGTATGGCGGGGTGGGTAAAGGATGACAATAGGGTAAGAGTAAGGGCAAGAGTAAGGGTAATTCGAAAACTGAAAAAATATAAATTGTCACTTAATTAATAATATACATGGGGTGGTATGCTTAGTAAGCGGCACTTTAAGCACCTATTTCGGATAGTGCAAAAAAAGTGATTTGTAAAGCACAATGATTATAATAGTAGTAAGAACACTGACCACACTAATATACTCTGATATTACTAGTATATTAGAGCATCTTCAATGCAAAAATGTGAAATGTGCATCCGTGACATGAGAAATAGCCGATTAAAAAATAACAAATAGAATATCTCTCTCATTCTTTCAACAGTCTAATATGTTTTTGGTAAGTTTTTCAACAATGTCAACTACAATGTCTACATCTAGACATTGTGCTTGACATTTTGGAGAAAAACTTACCAAAAACATATACGACCGTGGAAAGAAGGAGAGAGAAACGTCGAAAATTTAATCATTTGTGTCTATCTCTCTCATGCCACATGTGCACCGTGCACATTGTAGTATTGGAGATGCTCTTACTTACACTTGTATAGATGACTTATGTCATTCTTACATTATTCACATTTTCCTTCATAATTGCAATGTATCATATCTCAATCATATGAATTAAGAGCAGATAGCTTCAAATTTAGGCTCATCGGCAAACTCTTTTACCACACACAATCTTCTACTTTCTCGACATTAATTGTGTAATCATGAAAACAAGTATATTACTTTTTTAATCAAATTGACTAAAATTGTTATACAGAGTATAAAACTAGAAGTTTAAAGCTGGCATCACCTGGGGGATGGGGAGAATCACAAAAGCGTCGAACCAGAAGCCGTCGAACGAGCGCAGGTAGTGTTTGGCAACCGCACGCGCGTCCCAAACGAGTTTCCCGCAGCCTACCACGAGCGACTCTCTGGACACGTAAGCAAGCCGGAACTGCAGCCACAGGTGGCAGATATGGACGGCGTCAACGCACGTACGGAGGACGGTGACAATCGCCGCCAGGCCGCCGTCCATGTAGAGGGAAGGCGAGCCATCGCGGCCGATGGATAAGGCGTAGAAGAAGAGAGGATCAATGGCCAACGCCATGCCACGTGCCAGCAGGAATGCCCTGTTCCACCTCTGCACGCGCTTGCTACGAGGGTCCATAACACGCGCGAACGTACGGGGTCTAGACCGGACACTGAGGGACGAACCGGGCTTGTTTTTAATGGGAATTAGGGATGAACCGGCAGAAGCCTCCCATTCCGGCTGGTTCGCGTTGTCGCAGCTGGTGGAGTGGAAAACCGGAACCCCAACTTGCGTACAAGCATAACATTCCGCCGTTGAAAAGAATCCGGCCTGGTTTTCGTCGTCATTAAAGTATTTGTCTTCGCCTTTTTCAACTGATTTTTTTCTCGTGCAAAACAGGCTACAAATAAAACAAGCGTAAATCAATATATATTAGTCTGTATTTATATAATTATACAGCAACAAGAAATTAAAGAATTAGAAAAATGAAAGAATTAAGACCTGAGGAAGGGAAAGTGAAGGCAGGGATAAGAAGGCATCTTCGGTGGGAAACCATGGGAGAGAGGAGCAGAAATGGTGGGTGAATTATTGAGCTCTCTCAGAGCAAAACAACAGATAGATGCCTGCAAAATGATTGTATGAAGGAAAATGGTTTTTTTTCTAAATATGTCGGAACCGCCTAGGGTGGAAACACGAGAGGCTGGTTGGAACCAACCATTACAGCTCACCGGGTGGAAGGTTACCGTGTCCTAGTGGAGGTCTCGGGTTCGAATCTCGGTAGGCACATTTAGGGGAGAGGATGGAGGTCTTGCTCCCAATGATTCTTCCTACTTTCACGGAGTTTTTGCTCAGCGGCTGAGAAGGGAGAGGATGGTAATGAAGGTAGCGGGTTCGTGTGATGGGAGGAGCAGCCTGAAAGGTGATGTAAGTCCTGCTGGATTCGTCCTTTGGAACCAGTACTGACGAGGCTGACTGTGATCATATCTGGACTTAACTGTCTAGGGACTTTGGAGGATAGTTCATAGACTTCAGAATTATGGGAGCGTAAGCCCCGACACCTGGATTATCAAAAAAACGAGAGGCTGGCTGGAGCCTGTGAAAAAAAAATTGTGATGTATATTGGCTATAAATATTTATAAGTATAAAAAATATAGTGAATTGATCGTGTCAATTAAGAGCTCGTTTGATGACCCCATTTTTCGGTTTATCACTTTATCAGCCAGCTTTTTTATCAAACACGTAATTTTTGATTTCGCGTGCTAAATTTTGTAATAAGTAGAAAAAATAAAGTTGAAGTTACTTTTCTAATTGTATTGGCTGAAGTTATTGTAGATGATCATTTTATCTATTTTTTCATAAATTTTTTATTTAATTTATTAATAATAAATATTTTAAATATAATTTTTTTCATGAATCAGCAGAATCAGCCAATACATCCACTTCAATCGAAACTTTATAAATTTCAGCAGAATCAACCGATACAGCTGATTTGGATATTACCAAACGGGCTCTAAAATTTATTGTTATACGCTTATGCACATGTTTTTTCTCTCCCCTTCTCTCCCTTTTGCACCATACGAACCCCCGTCCCCCCTCTCCATCATCTTGTTCTTTCTTCCGTTCTCCGCTCTTCTTCTTCATCTTCTTCTTCTTTTTCTTTCCTTCTCTCTTTTTCTTTCTTTTTATGTTTTATTCACCTTCATCTTCTTTCTTCTTCTTCGTCGTGCTCTTCTTTTCCCTTCTCTCTTTTTCTTTTCTTTTTACGTTTTATTAGCTAAGTTTAGAAATGATTCCTTTGAATCATTGTTGTTCGTCATCTTCTTCTTATTCTTTCCTTTTACGTTTATGCACACTGACACTGGTTAGCTCTAAGTGTGTGTGTACATAGACGAAAATTGCATATGTACAGACACTTTTGTTTCTACACTTCTGTGTACACCGACACTTGCAAATCAATTTTTTCACACCGCCACTTTTTTGTCTACAAAGACAACTAATGTCTGTGTACACCGACATTGGTTTCCATGCAACCAGCCTGATAGATCTCAAAACTTATTTTATTCACACCGACAGTTTTAATGAAAGTGTCTGTATTTGTATGATTTTTGTTTGTGCGAATGGCAAATAAATGGAGTGTAACCAAGGGTGTACACCAAGAATTTCCCTTATTAATAAAATGACAAAAGAGTGATATAGATTTCCCGTTACAAATATACTATTTCCGTACTAAATTCATTCAAATACAGTAATTGTACGGTTTTACACTTGACGGTGTTAGTAGTAGTAGAATTTGGATCCTCTTCATTAACCGGAGAGTTCCATTATGAGAGAGATAGAGAGGAGAAAATGAAGGGTGAGGTAGGTTGGTGGATAGAATAGAGAAAAAGGTAGAGATAGATAGGAAGTAAAAAGAAAATGGAGGGAAAATGGATAGAAAGAAATGGAGAAGAGCTACACCTGTAATAGAATGATAATTTTCTCATCAGAAACTATCGTCATTAACATGTACTCTGTAAATAAGAATTCGATTGCTTTATAGATATTTTCCTGTTTTCTATTTCTATTTTTCATTCTTCAATTTTCTGTTTTCATTTTCCAATTTTTTCTCCAATTTTCTGTTTTTATTTTTTAGTTTTCCATTTTCAAATCTGAAAACATGTTCATCAAAAATTTTCACCGAGTTCCAGAAGACTGAAAGTACGGTCCCATTCCGAAAAAACCTAGTACAACCCAAGTAGGGTACCAGGTCCCGCGTATAAAAAAGTCAGCACCGAAACCATCCGGGACCGGTCGATCTCAACGGTTAATTTGACGAACTCTTTTCTTATTTCCCTATGGAGTGACAACTCAACAGCTCTTTTAAAACTTTTCAACTTTAAAAAGTGATTTCAAATAATCGAGATTGAACCGCGGGGTCATTGACCGGCCCAGACAGGGATCTATTATTTGAGATTAGCAATAGAGCCATCTAATACATAAAAGCAAAACGATTTTTTAGTGTTCATTGAACATTATTCCCGCCTATTACCCAGAAACATCCCCGGTCGTTCAATTTCCCCGTTCTTACATATCTCCACCGTTCAATTTTTCACCTGCTTCCCCGATCTGTTAGCATTTTTCATTCACCCATAAGAGTTTCTTCTCCTACATCTCGCCTTTCTTCGAAATCATTTGACTTCAACAACCGAATATCCCAGTTCGGATTCACAACACTCGATTTCTAATCTGGGCCCAAGATGTCTAGCCTCGTCACCCGCCGGACACCGTGATCGAAGACCACCGCCGGAAATTCACCTGGGCGAAACCCTAGAGACGGCCACTGTTCTAATTTCACCTTTTTAGAACTTATGTTACCATAAAAAGTTCATAACTATGTAAATTAATAAACATAAATTATCGAGCAAAATCATACTTTATAAATAGGTAATTTTGATGATTTAATTTCATAATTGATGTATGTTCAATTATTAGTCTAACTCGCTTGAGTTTTTTATTTAAGATAACTCGCTTGAGTTCTGTAGCTCATAAGGATGTCCGCTTTAAAAAGATTTTGCTACACTAATAATACGTATGATATTTTTCATTTGAAACACGGAGTAGTATCTAGTGCAAAATACTCAATATGTGGATCTTGTTAATTAGAGGATATGAATATCAAGAATATATGATCTTTAAGTTGTAAGTAAGTTACAAAACTAAAAATTGATACAAGCATAGAGTATGATACTAAATCGACATTCTTTTCAATAAAGATACCTCAATTCATAAAATTCATTTAAACTAGGTTCAAAAGCCTGTTTGGTAACACTGAAATCGGTTGAACAGGCTGTTTCTGTAAATATTTATGATGTTCTGGCTGAAATGAATGTATTAGCTGATTCTGCTGATTCATGAAAAAATTATATATAAAATATATTTTATTGATAAAATAAAGAAAAAAATATATTAAAAAATAGCTAAAATGATCCTCTACGGTACCTTCAGCCAATACAGCCAGAAAAGTAACCTTACTTTTTCTTATTATTACACAATTCAGCGCAAGAATCAAAAGTTACGTGTTTGGTGAAAAAGTTGACTGATAAGCCGAAAAACTGACTCACCAAACGGGCTCTAAATTTAAATCAATAGCAGAGTGGAATAAAAAAATAAAAAAATAAAAACTTCTTTCAAAAGTAGAAAAATTGATTTGCCCTCGACTTGAATTTATGAACAGATTACAGATAGGCTTAACATAGATATGGTGTGTTTTGTGATTATATAATTCTCAGGAGTGGTACCTTTTCAAAACTGAAACTTTCATCATGTATGTCAACCATTCTTTTATTGCACTAAAAGCCAAGGACTATTCACTATATGCAAGCACAAAGAAAGAAATGCAGTAATGGCAGTAGATGACTTCTGCCTCACATATTCCTCCAATGCTTCTTCCTTTTCATGCATTAACTTTGCCCTTCTTCTCAAACTCTCAGACACCCTTTCCTGCACAAACTCCTGAAAAGATTTCATGGTCTCAAAGGTAAGCTTCCCAGTCAAGTCAAAAATGAACTTTTTGTTTCTAGCCAAAACATTGCTCTGGAGATGTTGATTGTTATTGCTCAAGACTTGATGAGATGTTCTGATGAATGTCTCCACTGTGTGTTGGCATACAGTAACCAGAATGTATCTTACTTCTGTTTCGTGCTTCGGGTTTATCAGTGCCGAAAAGAGGTCATCAAACGGGTTGTTGTTCATCGTCTTCTCCAGATATACTGATACGGCTGTGCATACAGAGAGTTGTACGCAGTTTCCAATTAGCTCTCTGCAGTTTTCGTCGCAGAGTACATTGCTTACCCACCTACTGAAAGATTTAAGTCTTGTGTTAATAGAATAGTTAGACATAATTTTGTAACTATTTAGCACATTTTAATTCTAACAAATTGATAGAGTCCATGGTGGAGACAGAAAAATGACAAATGGTTTTAAGACAATACCTGAGTTTGAATATTTCATATATAGCTTAGATAATGGGGGTTCAAATGAGACTAATAAGGTTATAAATTTGATATATACATAGTATATCATATACTGTACTACGTATATTGTAAAATTGTTTTATACGAGTTCATTCGACGGGTTTCCGCATAGGCAACTACCTCGGATGAGACCATTTACCTTAACGACTTATCGAGTTATCCTGGAACTCTATAGATCCCTTCTCACCCAATTTAGTATCAGAATTTCTTAGCAGAAAAAATCGGCTATTGAGTAGGCACTCATAACCGTAAGATATGTTGCATTTGCTCTATCCATGAATCCCGTCACGTATGTAATGAGTGAATTATACGCCATTTTTAAAATTTAGTAATATAATCAATATTACACATTAAATTTTACCCATTTTAAGTTTAGATAGTGTTGATTTTAATGAAGTCACAATTCTTTACTCGTCATGAGTTACGAGAAGCATAATACTCTCTCCGTTCCTAACAAAATTTCCAACTTTCCCTATTCGTTTGTCTGAAAAAGAACTTCACTTCCCTTTTTTTGGTAAAGAATTTGTGGTTCACAACAACTTTCTTACACATTTCTCTTTTCTGCACACCTCTCCACCACACAATACTCACTTTCTTAATCTGTGTGTCATTTGTACTATGGAAGAACTTTTAGGGACAGAGAGAGTATATCAAATGGAAGGTATTTCAGAACTCTATAGTCTCTAACCTCATTGGCTCCACCCCTGTCATATACTACGTAATATATGCTCCCTCTATCCTAAATTTTATTTCTATTTTTTAATTTGAGATATTCCAAAGTTAATTTTCTACTTTATTTTATTTCTACTTTTGGTATACTTTTGTTTTGAAAATACTCATATGACCCCTAAGGTTAACATTCATTTACCTTATTTACTTGATTTGGATTACTACATTCCTTTACTATAACAAGAGTAATTTTAGACAATATTTACATTTTTCTACTAACCATGTGGAAAGACTATATGATCGGATCATACCTCATTCCATCGGCCGGACTGGCTGAATAGAACGCCGCCATGACCAAGTTATTCGCGAAGCTCCCCACGACGGCCGACGCAAAACCAGAGCCAGCGTCGGTGAACAGCTTATCCAAAACCCGATCAACGCCGAACCCAGAAGCTGTTGCTAAAAAAGTAGTACCAGTCGTGTTTTGGCAGCCTTGAAGAACCCCCGTGGTTACAGACGCCGTGATCCTAACCAGAGACTCTGAGACCTCATCTGATTTGGCGATCTTGGAAATCTGCCTTATACTCGGAGGAACTTGATCCGAATCTGACTGTATAAATTCATTCAGATCTTTTGAAAGAATGGAAATTGAATTAGCTGAGTTAGATGCCATTTCAGCTAAAGAAGCTAAGGAGCCAAATAATCCCAAAAATCTCTGCCTCCTTTTCACCATAGCTGGTGAATTGTAAGATTTATATGCACTGTAACTAGTGAATCCTAAGATTCCCACAGCAATAACCCATTTCTTGTTTTTTCTTGTGTAATAACTCAACCCTCTTTTCACTGATTCTATATCCATATTATTCATCGTTTCATCGCCATAACATCTTTACAGTTTGGGATATGAAATAGAAGCTCTTATTTTTTTAAGTGCGAACATACTCCCAAAGAAAAGCAGGGGATAAGCAAAATGTTTACAAACTTAGCGACATCCATGTTTAAAATGGCGGCTAGAGGATATGGATGTATGATAGTTTATTTAGAGTTAATGAGCTATCTTCTGCTGTCATAAAGGTGCTATTATTATTGGTTGTTGGCTTTGATAAGTTGTTGGGATGAAACTCCCGCGGAATGAATTCTTGGCATGTGGACATTTGTGACATCACAAGAGTTGGACATTGCTACTAGGACGGGTAAACCGTAACCGCCTAACCGTTTAAAAAAATCGAATAATGAGTATTTTTCTGATTAACTGTATCGCTTTTTAAAATAATCACGGTATAGTTAACTGATTAAATAAAAATATGTTTCACGGTCGGTTTACCATTTCAAAATTATTTAGGATCGGTTTATCGAAGTCGGCTATCCAGCTACCCTAGCTGCTCCGCCAGCACAGAGATGATGCCCTTTTTCTTCCATCTTTTTCCAGAGCCGCCTATCTGAATAAATCTAGACGTTCGATCTCTTCTGCTCCATATCCAGGTATTACATCCTTCGTCGCTCGACCAACCCAGAGAAAAGGATGCCTTTCTTCTTCCATCTTTCTCTACAACCGACAATCTGATTTAATCTAAGTGATCGATCTCTTCTTCTGCTACATATCAAGTATTTCATCCCCCAACTCCTTTTCTCACATTCAATATTCAGAAACACCAAACCAAGTGTCGGTTCGTTTTGTTTTGAAGAAAAAAGAAAATTACATAAATGGCGAAAAGCCGAAGAAAAGTTAATGAATGGGCAAGGGTAGAAATTAATGAAAATAGAAAATTATTTTCCGTTATGGTTTTATGGCTTTTAACTAAAAGTTATTGAGTCCTGATTTTTGTGTAATTGATAAATTTGTACTCCGTATTTGTTAATTTAGGATATTTGAATGCAACTTTTTCTCATAATCAAATGGTGGTGCTACTTGTAGAGATGTGTACAAATGACCTTTTGCTAATCAAATTGCTATGCACGAAAGATATGAGGTTTTAGGCCATAAAAGAGAGAAAGATGAGCAGGAAGGAGGAGAAACGACGAAAGTTACATGAAGCTCTCCTTAAAGTGCTCTATCCGCCTCCATCATCACCTCCTCATCACCAAGTACTAAGCTTTACAACGTTAATGACATTTTATTCTTCTAAGTATTACACTGATTAGATTATTAACAGAGGGAAAGGAGCGAGGGAGCCGGGAACACTCATACAGAAAGTCTCGATTTAGATCTCGTTCCAGGTGCTTGTTTTGTTTCCAATACTCTAATCAATTTGAGCCATACCGATACGCTAATAGAGAGATTGAATAAAATGCAGATGATTTTGAGAAAGAAAGGAGCTCCTCTTCTTCTTTAAGCGATGAGGAGGGTGGGTGTGAAGCTCAGAAATTGACTAGGGCTCAGAGGAAGCGCATCCGCAGAACGAAGCTTAAGGAAGCTGCTTCCCGTCGCCAGAAAATCATCGGCCCTTTGTTGCCCAATGCAAGCGTTGAGAACGGTGCGGAGATCGTACAGGGACATCTTACAGGTGTTTGTCAAAATGCCTACCAGCCAGGTATCTTTACACTTTCCATCTTTAGCGGTACCAAAAATATCTTTACACTTCCTTATTTGCCTTATTTGGCAAATAAATCTACACAAAACAGTGTCAAACAGTGTCAAACAGTGTCAAACAGTGTTTATTTCCTTAAAAACTGTGAAATCAAAGTGTCAAGATCTTTTGGAACCGGAGGGAGTATACAGAGTATAAAATATACTCTTCTCATGAAAGTTAGTCAATTTTGAATTCCACTTATATTAATAAATTAAAAATTGTGTGATTCAAATAAGAAGTATGTGTTAAGGAGATGAATAATATGGAACACAATTTTTTTTACTTTAGAAGAAAATGACAAACCTTTTGGGATCGTTAAATAAGAAAAGGATTATTAGCTACATACATCTCCAATTATCAACAAATTCATAAATCTATCTTAAACTTTCACTTTTATTAAAAAGACTTAAACTTCAACTTTTCTCACAATTACACTTTCAGGATGAATTAGTAGAATTCAAGAAGAAAATCATATTTATATTTCATACTTTTAACTTCTTTCTAGTTTTGAGTTTACAAATTTGTATTACTTATGTAGTATATCTTATTGGTATTGATAAGAATGTGTAATTTTGAAAAAACAAAAAAGAAAAGTATGATTGTTTTAAAAGTTGAAGTTTAATTCTATTTTTAATAAATATGAAAGAATAAGATATACGGAGTAATTGTGAATTTGATGATAGTTTGAGATAAAATAAGCTAATAATCCATAAGAAAATCCATCAAAACTTTTTGGGAGAGGGGTAGTGCTTTTATACCTATTGTACATGGCCTCCGGTGTTAGATAACCAATTTTTTAATGCCATATTTACTTATTAGATTGACTACTCCTCTTTCGTCGGTTATTAGATACTCCCTCCGTTCCATTAGACTTTGTTAACTTATTTTTTTTGTTTGTCCCAAAAAACTTTGTCACTTTCCTATTAAAACAACTTATTTGTGGTTCTGCACATTTTTCTCTCCTCTGCACAAATCTCAAACACACAGTTTTTACTTTCTTATTTCTCATCTACTTTGTATACCAGGACGGATGGAATACATTTTTAGCAAAATCTATTTCAAACGATGAGAGTTCGTAGCTTCAAGACGATATTAAATGCACACTTACTATTATTTTCTTGAATCTCCTTTAACGGAAGAAATAGAGAAGCGAATACCCAAGCCCCAAAGATTTTGGGTTCGGTTAACTAAAATATAAAATAATAAATGCGGAGTATGATTTTCACATTCAAGTGTACTATTACCTCATTTTTTCAATTATCTTTGTTAGACACTACCTAGTGATTACATAAGAGACTTATTTGATTGGATTCTCTTTAGTTTCGGACTTTCAGTAGTATTGAACTTTTAGTAAAAGCAATGTTGAACAACTAAAAGCAAAGTACATGGTTACTAGGTTAAATGTAACCAAGTAACCATGGGGATAATTCATAAGTTGAGTACTTATAATCCAGTAAGTTGAATATAGCAAAGTAATAAGTTGAATATAGCAAAGTAATAAGTTGAATCCAGAAAGCAATTTAATCGAGTAAATTGCTTCCTTCAATTTAGTTCTTTGCCGTGAATTTACTTGGTTAAAACATTCCAGCAATTTACTTGCTTTCAAGAAGATTACTTGCTTTTAACCAACATGTGATGGTACAATTTGAACAGCTTAAAATTTAAATCAGTAAATATTCAGGAGATACCTTAACCAAGTAATAGTAATATAATAATAATAAGAATAACTCTCATAATAGAGAAGTTGAACAACTAAATTGAACAATGGCAATATTATTTTTACCTATGCAAGTAACACTCAATAAGTAATTGGGATTTCTTGGTCATACGAAGTACGGGTCCCACCTAGGCAACTACCAATATCTTTTTTACTTGAGTGTCTCAAAAGTCTGAGGCATATCATAACATGGAACTTAAGTTCAAAGACGAAGCAAACAAATTCACAAAATATGTGTCTTGGTACTAAAGGTTGTTCTTGTGCTTGGGTGCATTCCTTCCCAGAAGAGACTGCACAGTGTACAAAGAAGAATAAGGTGAAGAACAGAAGGGCGTACAAGAAGTTAGGTTGTGAGAGGTCTAATAGTAGCAAGCAGTGATGTTGGTCCGGCTCCATTCAACCATACAATCTCGAGGGATTCTTGCAATATTCTAATGGTCAAGTGGGATTATCTGTCCGCCCAGTTGACATACGTGTGCTACTTTTTGTTAATGCCAACACAAATTCTGGTTCTGATGTAGTTATTGTATTGTTTTTAGCTCAGAATGGTGAGTCTTAATTACTCTTACTCCGTATTATTTATAGAAATATTGTTCTTTGTCTGCTCTTAAATTAATATGCTTTGTTCTTCGATATGTAGGAATAACAGTTTTCTAGCACTCCTCACTGAAATTTGATTCTCCCATAATGGGGGAGCATAGTTTGATAGTTTGATAAGTTTCATATTTCAACATTATGTGATTCTAGTTGCTAGTTTTTTATAGTATTCCCTCTTTTCATATCTTTCTTCTTTTCCTAGATGATATTTACACGAAATTTCCGGGTGCAATACGGCCTAGCAGGGTTGTCTATTGGGCTGTGCAAACAGTGCCCCTACACTAGGCCTACAAATGATCAAGGCCCATAATTTTTCAAAAAACAGTAGTGTATATATATGTGTGTGTGTAGGAATGATCATGTCCACTTAGAGGGACAAGACCTGTCTGGCAGTGGCCGTTTGAGGTAGTTCCCGGTGGAATTTTGTGATGAATTTTTTTGAGCATGTTCTTCATTACGTCTAGTTTATCCACACCAAATTTCATTAATTATTTCCCATGGGTCTGCTGAGGGGCCATTTTAAAAAATTGATGCAACGGCAAATGAAGTCGGCCATCACCCGATAGGAGTTCGGCATAATTTGGGCCGGTACTACCTCGTAAAAATTGAAAAAGGACACAAAGAATGGGTGCAAGGGAAACCTAAGCCCAACTTTCACCGAGTCTAAATGGACCACCACCATCCCAGGGAGGTGACGCATTGGTTGAAGCCCAGCCCGAAGATGGAAATTCACCGGGTCCGGAATTAGGGTTGGAATTTGAGCCCTATTGTGAGAGGTCAATTTCTGCCTCCTCTCCCTGATTAATCTTAAATCAATTTTGTAGCGAGGGACATCATCTGGGGGTCCAGCTGTCATGGAAGCAAGTTCATCATCGGACTTTGTGTCATCAGAGTCGTCATCAGAAGAAGAAGAACCGACAGAAGAATTATCCGCCTCCGCCCGATTATCCTCCGTCGCCTCATTTGGGCCTTCGACAAAAGGGACGGGTATGACGTCCACAACGGCGGCATCATGATTTTCCCCTTGGGAAGCCATTTCCGAATCGGAGGAAGGTGATCGAGAAGGCATGTTGAACGAACACAAAATGAAAGAAAAGAGCAAGGAGTAGAGTTTACCTGAACACACTGAGCTTGAAGAGTCCTAGAGAGAAGGCAGAGCAAAAGCATGAAGAATTTGAAAATTCGAAACCCAGATCTGAAGAAACAAGGGCCTATTTATAGCTTGACAGGCATCGAGTCGGTAACCAATCAGAAGAAGGCACGTCACCTGGACTATTTTGAAGGGACACGCGTCGCATGGAAAAGCAAAAGCCAGTAATCATGACAAATATGGAAAAAGGCAAACGACAGCCGCAAATAAGGTGCTAATAATGACATAGGGAATCAGCGAATTCTGAATCCCGATCGCCATTCGGAGTACAAGTTCTACTTCCTAATGCACTCACTACCATTCGAGACATCGGAAGTGGGAGACTCATGTTGGGATATTGGGCCAAAGGCCCAATACCCGGATCAGGGGGCCCAGAATATCTAGTCTAAACAGTTAGCCCGAAATCCAGATGCAGAGTGAGCCCAGTGAGGAATATGTACCGAACGGGGATCGGGTCAACCAAGGTACTTGGATCAAATCCACGGTATGTCCAGCGTGAACCACCCCCGATCGGGCAACGGACAACTGGCAAGTGGCAGACGCATTAAATGCTAGAGTGTAACATGAGCAAGTGGAGAAGATGGGCATTGAAGTCGGTGGATTAGCAACCAATCAGGATAAAGCACCCATGCCCCCCATTAGTATAAATAGAGGGATAAATCACAGTGTAAATGGTTGGCATTTTGATACTCAAAGCCTATAATAGCTTTATCACTCTTGTTTCTTGTATTAATCACTATTCTGGCGTACCGTTCGGGAACTTTCTGTGTAATCAAGCAAATTACGTAATACAAGCGGACTTTTGAGTATTCGATTATTCATCTTTTATATTTCCTTATACACTCGATTTATTACCCATTTCCTAAAATATACAAAGTTTGTGTTGGACTTTCGGATCTACGGGAGTTAACCTCAACACTCTCATTAATGAATAATTTGATCTCATTTACTTTTGTTATCTTCATTATCTTTTTCTCCAAAGTCTCGTGAAGTCATGAATGTCGACCATTTTCTTAAAAACAACAGATTCACATTTTGTCCAAACACGTTTTTTGTCTCTTAATTGTTTGGTTTGAAATGATTTATTCACTTCTTAACAGAACAATATGAATTCAGTGACAAAAATGTGTCTTCAAAAACTTGATTTGGTGGTTTATTGACCATTAATTTATTGTCATACTTTTCAACTTGTTAGATGTGTACTACGTATATTGAACTTACTTTTTAATTGCATGAGCTGATTTGGTTGGTAGTGACAAATAAAATTTGATTAATTTTTAGCTGATATTACTTAGCTTCTCACATGTTTCTTTGCAAAAATACAACTCCCTCCGTCCAATTTAAAGGTTCTTGTCCACCATTCTTCGATCAACGTGCATTATTTTTAATCTTTGACTTTATATATCCAACTTTTATCAAATTAAATTTCCTTGATCAGGCTTGTAGCAATTTTAATGTAGTTTTTGAATATGTAAATTTTATTTACTAAAAATAATTCTACTAATGACAGAGATCAATTAATTTTATGGTCAGTCAAACGTCGTAAACCGCGCAGTAACGTTTAAATGGGAGGGAGTATCACTTAGCGCACTTTCCCGTTTTGTTAAGCTCATTATTACAAACACATAACTACATTTATTTTTCTACGATTTTATATTGGTTTTCACACTAGCTTTTTTATTTCATCTCTTCCCCATTACTTTTTCAATTTTACTATGCAATTGCAAATGCCTTAATTATGGTTGGACTCGGGTCGGGCCACCCGGCCCGTGGACCGGCCCGGCCCGCTACTGTGCAGGACCGGGACCGGCCCGGTTCTCAGGTCCGGTTCCAGGTCGGGCCTAGGCCCAGTGGGTAGTGCGGGTCCGGGATCGGGTCTCACTATTGGCGAACCGGCCCGGCTGGGTCAGGCCCGAGTCCGGGCCAAATTGATTTTTGTTTTTTTTTTTTCATTTTTTTGGGTTCCAGGCTTCCAGCCGGGTTGGGGTTGATGGTTAGGAGGGGTTTGGGGGGGTTTGGGAGGGTGGGGTGGTGAGGGGGGTGTTTGAAAAGCAAAAAAAAAATACTCAAACCGGAGGCCCGACCCGACCCAGACCAGACCCGGTGGCTACCCGGGCCGGTCCCGGGTCCACCATTCCTGAACCACCGGCCCGCCCGAGCCTAGGCCTGACCTGGACCTGAGTCCACCCTTAGCCTTAAGCCCTTAATCAATACAGAGTGTGTGTTGTTCATATAATTTTTCTATACAAACATTTAAATATCCCCACCATCATAATAAATTTAGATTGGTCATTGGATGACGAAGGAGATCGATTTCCAATTTTGCTCGTGAAAGAGACCTGAAAAAGCTCCATAGATAAGAACCAGTACACTTTTTTCGAACAAGGCTTTAAATTGATATCATATCAGATAAGGAGTAAAGCGACAAAAGGACCGTAAGCAACCGCCAAACTCAAACCAGAATTGGAGTCAATCACTTTCGAAAAAAGCAATATAACTCGTTGATCCTATAATGGACATAAATGAGCCAACGACGATTAAAGCAGACATCCATCACTCAATTCTAATGCAAGAGTTTTCCAACAATAAAAGTAACCAACAGAAAAATAAACAATCTGATTATGAAAAATAAATTACAAGCAAATAGTAAAATTAAAACCTGCTTCCAAATCCTAGACATTCCTGCACTCTATGGCGACGGTTCAGGAGAGGGATAATGCATCATGTTGTATTATATTAATATTATTATTATCATCATCATCATCACCATCATGTTTTAATAATACGTCACAACAAACAAAACATGTGATTGACTGAAACTTTTTATAAGGATTCGTCAAAATTCATAGAGAATTTATACACATATGTCAATTTTGTGACAAAAACATTTTGACAAGAGCTATATGATATGAAATTATCGATTAATGTGCCAAATCCATACCAATTTCGTAATTTTTTATAATGCAGATCTCAATATGCATCATGTTATTTAATCCATACGCGTTTTGAAATATTAATTTTAGATTAGTGTAACAAAAGTATTGAGAACGTGTTACCTTTATCTAGTACTCTAGTAGCATATGTAACAAAAGTTGCTTTATTAAAGTGGATTAAAAGGTAGTATTGTGCCAATGCTAATTGCTAAGAGTTGGTCACATGTAACCAACAAATTTCAACGCAAGGATTTGTGGACAAGACTGAAATGATACCATTCAAATTCTTAGCGATTAATTAATCTCAACTTAGGATAAAGTAAAACAAGTACAACAATTCTTTTTAATGACTTTGATGTTAAAGTTAGATTCAGTCTTACTTATATTAAGATTCATTAATTAAGATCTCTTATATTAGTGATCAACATAGTCACATTCATTTGTCGCCGACTCCCCGCCCCTAAATGTACTTTATTACTCCGTATTAGAATAGGCGTCTCACTAGGATTTTTATGTAGATTAAGATGATTTATAGGTTTATTGTACACAAAAAAAGCAAGAGATTTTTTGTACTAAAACATGACCGTTTACTTTATTAAAGTGTACTATAGCTACTCTTGGGGGATCTATTTCCAAAATGGAAGTGAACACTTATTTTGATACGACCTGAAAAGAAAATGAGACACTTATTGTGATACTAATGATGGACCCGAGTCGGTCCGGTTCCGGGCCGGGCCCGAGCGGGCTTTTTTTGCAAAATGTTGGGCCCGAAACCGGCCCAAGTTGATACCGGGTTCGGGCCTAACCAGGCCGGGCCTAGGGGTGGATTCGGTTCGGGTCACCCGGCCCGGCCCGGTACTGTGCGGGCCCGGGACCGGCCCAGTCGGGCGGGCCCGGGACCGGCCCGGTCGGGCGGTCCGGGACCGGCCCGGTCGGGCGGTCCGGGACCGGCCCGGTCGGGCGGTCCGGGACCGGGTGTGGACCCGAACCGGTGGGAATGGGCGGGGCGGGCACGGTTCCGGAAAAATGTGACCCGGCCCGGCCAGGTCGGGCCCGGCCGGGTCGAGCCCGAGCCCGGGCCTGGGTCCGGG